ACAGGACAGGACAGGACAGAACAGGGCAGGACAGAACAGGACAGGACAGAACAGAACAGAACAGAACAGGACAGGACAGGACAAGACAGGACAGAACAGGGCAGGACAGAACAGGACAGGACAGAACAGAACAGGACAGGACAGGACAGAACAGGACAGGACAGGACAGAACAGAACAGAACAGGACAGGACAGGACAGGTTATTATTCACCACCAGGGCAGTGTTTGGACCTGGACGTTCGGGGCTGAAGCCTCGGATAGTTCTGTCTGACCGGAGTCAGAACACGGATCTAAACTATGGAGACGATCTTGAGGACAGATTTGTTGCAGAAAATTCTGAACACGTTTGAAAATTAAGAGACGACCTCTGAGACGGGAGGAGACATTTAGGAGACTCCGTCCCTTTTATGTTGGGCAGCGTCTTCACAGTCCAGTGTCTCCTTCGTGCTTGATGAAGATGAGTTCTGTGATGGAGTTCAACTCAGAGCTGCTCCTCAGATCAATAAAGTTCATTATTTTATAGATGGAAGTTTCTGTTCAGCCCTGACACACTTCTGTTGTGACTTGGAGCTACAGTTCATGGAATTAGACCACCAGGTGGAGATCACAGGTCCAATCCCCTGGACGACCAGCAGAGGTCGCAACACACACACACTGTGCAGAGCAGCTCTTATCGCCACCAGCGACATGTGAGGTCACTGTGCTGCACTGCCACTAATCACCAGCACACACACATGCACACTCCCAGTGCACGTGCACACTCCCAGTGCACTGCACACAGATGGGTGTACTAGAGAGGGCCTGAGTCATGGAGTGTTTGGGTTCTGACTCACCAGTCCGCTGAGAGACGGGGCGGACTGCCCCAGAACCTGGGACCTCATTCGGACCAGGTTGTTGACCTCTCCTCCTGACAGCGGCCCCCCGGGGGCCCCAGGCCCCCCTACAGCTGCAGGAGGCCCCTGAGAGGACAGCTGACTGACGCCGGCGTGCAGGCTGCAGGACAGGGGCAGCAGCTGTTTACCTGAGGAGACAGGAAGTGGATCTTGATCACACCAACAGCTAAAAGCTAAATTTAGCCAAATAAAGCTAAAAGCTAAACTTAAACAGTAGCTAGAAGCCAGAACGAGCTAAAGTAGAGTCGCTGAGAAGAAACTAAAATCAGGAAATATTAAATGTTTGAACCGGGGAACTGTTCGGGTCAGAACCAGGAGCAGGTGCGTGTTTGGGTTACCGGTCATGGCCATGCTGCTGCGCCGGGCCCGGTTCTCATCCTGACTCAGCTGACGGTGCAGTTTGGACTTGGTGGCGGTGGTTGCCGCGGGCGACAGGTCAGGATTGCTGAGCTTCCTGAAGAGGAGGGGAGGAGGCACCGCAAACTCCTTCTGGAAACAGGAGGAGGAGAAAACACACATCAGACCGGATCAACTGTGACAACAAAAGCACACAAAGTTCCTGAGGAGTCTACGGACTCTGCGGAACCCAGAACCTTTGGTTGCGTCGGAACCAGAGACTCATCGTGGATGTTCATCAGGTCTGACTGGGACATGCTAACAGGTCATTATGGACCAGAACCTCAGGACTCCAACACCGGACATGAAGAATCAGGGAGGTTCTGAAGACAAGAGGTCCAACTGGTACCAGTGAGTTGGACCGGTCAACTCCTGTAATAAAATGAAACCTGCCTGGGAACCACAGTAAAGAGCGTCTCGGTCAGAACCAGAACCCGTTCATAGAACACAAAGCTGCTCCTCACAGAACCTCAGAACCAGAGACACCTGTGGACCCGCCTCGTCTCAAACCCAACAGAAGTGAAACCAGCTGCAGCGACTCGTCTGCGTCGTAAAAGAAAAGGTTCTGCTGGACTTCCTCCCCTGGTACCACTGACCCACACACACAGACATGTTGTGGGAAAACATCTGCAGTTACCGTGGTAACTGGACCTGGACAAGCTCAGTCCCTCCTTTGGTCTAAAGGAGCGGCTCTAAGGAGGGTCTCCAGAAACATCTGGACGCCCTGAACCCAGACCCAGAGAGAGGAACCGGGCCGGCTGCAGATATGAAGCAGCTTCAGGGGGAGATGAACACAAACAGGAAGTGCCATCATCCTTTCACCACAACAGAACCTCAGCTTCCTCAGCGACCCGGGAACCATCAGACTGAAGAGGAACAATCTGCTCCGATGGTTCTAGATGAAAAACTGAACCGGGTTCTAAGAAGTCCGCTCCTGCATTCAAGATTTATCCAGTCTGAGGTGCTGAATCCACAAAACTAGACTCGACAGCTGACAGGAAACAGATTATATAAATATCTCGTCACGGATGTTTAGGTCCCAACGTGCTGCAGGTTCTGAACCCAAAGCTTTCAGTCACTTCCATCAGCTGATGAGCAGAAAACAAGCAGCAGAGGGAACTGTGGGCCGGGCCGGGCCGAGCCGGGCCGGGCCATGTGTTCGATTTGTGCTGCACGCAGAGCAGCAGCTGGAGAACATCCTGGCTCCGCTCCTTCCATCACGGTGAGCTGAAGACCAGCAGGTGAAGCAGGAGGTATAATCTGCTGACTTTAATAATCTGCTGACTTTAATAATCTACTGACTTTAATAATCTGCTGACTTTAATAATCTGCTGACTTTAATAATCTGCTGACTTTAACCCATCAGCTGCTGATGATCTTGAGCAGAGCTGCCCGTTCATCTCCTACAACCAGTTTCACCACAGATTAACTGATTTAAAACGCTCCCTTCACGCCCAACCAACTGGTTTGATAACTTTCACTGAACGACTTCAACTGGTTGAATTTAATCCAGCTGTCCTTTAATCTGCAGCACCGTCCTGAACGCAGACTGGGCTTCAGGACAGGAGCCGCTGGAAGAGGACAGACTGCTGCTGCAGAGACAGAGACACGTGGACAGACTGTTGGTGCAGAGACAGAGACACGTGGACAGACTGCTGCTGCAGAGACAGAGACACGTGGACAGACTGTTGGTGCAGAGACAGAGACACGTGGACAGACTGTTGGTGCAGAGACAGAGACAGGTGGACAGACTGCTGCTGCAGAGACAGAGACACGTGGACAGACTGTTGGTGCAGAGACACGTGGACAGACTGCTGCTGCAGAGACACGTGGACAGACTGTTGGTGCAGAGACACGTGGACAGACTGCTGCTGCAGAGACAGAGACACGTGGACAGATGAGGCAACTTTGAGACGTGTTCAAGACAAAATTGATGCATATTTGAGACAAGTATGTGGAGACTTTGAGACGAGTTTGAGACATATTTGAGACAAGTTTGTGGAGACTTTGAAGCAGGTAAAAGACACAGGTTCAACAACTTTTGGACAAATCTGTTCAAAGTCCATGTGACATAAGAGCGAGGTGCTGCTACTCAGGAGACGTTCACGGTTCAGTTTGTCTCCACTAGGTGAAGATGAGACGAGTTTTCATGGTCCAGTATCAAGAAACCGCAGGAGCCTGAAAACAGATTTTCAGACTCTAACCAGGAAACCAGACCCTGATGGCTCTAAGGTGAGCTGTGTGAACCAACGTTACGTTCTCCTGAGGTTCTCCTCCTCCTCCTCCTCCTCCTCCTCCTCCATGGTCGGGTCTGCAGGACAACATCTGGTCCAGCTGTGTAACAAGTGTTGATACGGACCATCGGAGCTGCTCCGGCTGCGTTTGAGCAGATAAAGAAGCCCGACAGAGATAAATGTGAAGGAACAGAGATGTTTGACAGATGACAAGTGACGGAGAGCTGTGGCTCCTGAAGGAAACATCAACAGAACACAAAGAGAAAAGCAGGTTCGACGCTACGATCCAAACGTTTGTTGTGGCAGAACCTCCTTCACAGCCGACAGGAAAGACAAACGGTGGGAACGTTTCTGTGGTTTCCACAAATCGAACTAAAGTCCATCAAAGCCTCCAGAAGAACATTTTCTCCAACCAGTCGGTCCGAATGAAACTCAATAGATTTTAAAGTTCTGCTGAGGCGCCGCGACGCAGAAAGATCCAAACCTGCAAACTCTCGGCTAGGCCTGTCACGATAACAAATCTTGCCGGGCGATTAATTGTCTCAGAAATTATTGCGATAAACGATAATATTGTTTGAAATTTAACAATAATTAGTAATTATTGTCAAATTTAAGAAGAAATGTTGGTTATTTTGTTTTTTGCAGTACCTTTTTTGACCACCTGATGGCAGTATAAGACTGTTTGAACCAAAGGATGGATGGTGAGGGAGC